CGTGATCCTATTGTTATTGTGTGTGTGAGCCTTCATTCATGTCCTGAACTGTTGCCTGGGCATTAGTCTGTAGTCTGCTGAGTTGTGGGTAGGTGCGGTGTGTGTGTGTACCTGTGTCTGTAAAAATAGTTTAAAAAGGGTACTCATTTTAACAATAGTGGTGGTCATTTCATCAGCCTTGCATGCTGTTGAATGGTGTAATTTACTACAATGTCATGTAATTCCAGAACAAATAATAATTGCTATTTCTAAGTGGTCGCTGAAAGCGTGTTTTGCCGTCCCTGAAATGAATATCGGGAGGGAGGGGAGAGGGTGAGCCAAAATTGCAAGGCGGCATTCACTGTACATGGCTTCATGCACGTGTGTAAGCATGCAATTTGCTACGTCCGGAATAGCAGCTGCATTCATTTCGGGGGAGGGGCTCGAGTACGAAATTGAACAATGTTCGTTTCAGGGACGACAAAAAACTTGCGATGACCACTAACACGGCTTCTTCACTACCGGTATTATGTGTGTGTGTGTGTAAGTGAGATTCCATTGATGAACCCTGATGTGTACATATGTATGTAGACGTATTTCAGACACAACATGCTAGATTGTGTTGTGCACATGCATACTAGCGGGAAGGGTAGGTAAGGCGACTCCATGTCGTTGTGCTAGCCACAGCCTGTACATAAGGATACCATGGGTACTCTGGGTCTGGCACTAAAAAAAAGCATAATGTGAAACCGGAAAATTTGGGCGGAGATTCATTTTCGGTAACTTCGGTACAAGTTACGCTTTAAAGTATCCACTAACTCCACCACTTACTAAACAATCAGCTCATGCGATAACATTTCACGACACTGACCGACGGTACTGACGTTCTACAACTAACTGGCCCAACAGCCGCATCCAAGGCGTGCTAGAGCTGATAGCCGGTTAGTTGTAGAACGTCAGTACCATCGGCCAGTGTCGTGCAATGTTATCGCATGAGCTGATTGTTTAGTAACTGGTGGTGTTAGTGGACATTATAGCGGAACTTGTAGTTCCTTGGTCCTTTTTATTTTCTATAACTTCGGTACAGGTAAGTTTTACCTAAAATATAACGCGACCTAAATTCAACATTGCCATGCCACACATGCACAGTACAGTGTGCGAAATGCATTTTTGGATCTGGGAAGCTGGTTTACCGAAATTTTAGCACTACCGAACCGTTGATTTTGGGAAATACCCAAAATGTTACACCACAGAAAATTCCCAGTTATACTGTGTAGTTTTTTTTCAAACCCTGGCCTGGGTGTGAAAGTGACTGTGGTGAAATGCACGAGTTTATAGGTTCAACCCGAAACCCGACCAGATACGGCGATAGTGGCTGGGCCCAGCCCCATACTTGTATCTTATACTGGGTACTCATTTGACCACTAGAGAACTGTGTGTGCAGTGGTCATTTTGATGCTGCTGTTATGTGTATGCTACAGTACAGAGCAAGATATCGCATGCAGGACTTCATTGTGATGATGTTATTCATGCACACTCTCCTGGATACCAGATATGGCTCCCTCATGGTACGAATCTAAGAGTAATGCTTTTCTATATGCTTGTACACATCTCATGAATTGATCAACCTGCGGACAGAACTGTTTCGTCCTTTCTGGACTCGTCAGCGCAGCACAGAGGGAACGAGGCCGAACCTGGTAGCAATGAAAAATAAATTTTCCAAAGCCAGATTTAAACCAGGCCCGAACGTACGTGTAGCTTCATTGTTTTGCTCACTCTGTGCTCAGCAGATTGCACTTCACCGCCTTCCCTTGCGGCCTGATGCCTTCCACCTGAAGGTGAAGAAAGAAGGTGCGTGCTGTCAGCAGGTTCAAGGTACTGTTTGAGTGCCAATAATATTTATCATTGCACTATGAGTATTGCAGTGGGGGGCAGTCCTTTCCTGTGCTTTACTGGCAAGACAAATATTGTACTGGTGATTACTGTCAACTTTGCTTATAACGACACTCGGCGGGGCATCAGAAAAGTGTCCTTATTCGCGAAGTGTCGTTATACCCGAAGTCTCATCATATGTATCACAGTTGGATGGGACTTTGCTCTGGGCATGGAAATTCTGTCGTTATTCGCGAATTGTCGTTACATCCGCAGTGGTTATTGGCGATGTTGACTGTATGTCTTTACCAGCCAGCGTTGAGAGGTGGACAGACCAGTTAATGCTGGCTTCTGTGATAGTATTATGCTCTGTCATGTGTGGGTCACTCTCATTCGTCTGATGATCGTTCAGCCGTGAACTTGGAGTTTACAAATTAAAACTACCTGACCTCTTCTGTACAAGGCAGGCGGTTTTAATTCGTATCTCCGAGTTTCATGGTTGAATGATGACCAGACGAATGAGAGTGACCCACACGCGGTTCATTATACAATGGCAAAGCTCAGATAATGCAGGAAATATCGTGCCACTGTTTCCATAGGGTTTTACAGCTTCCTATGGCGGCCCCAGTCTCAGTGCTTGGAGTGTTCTGAACACTCCAGAGCCAGTGCGGAGCAATCAAATGCCGTGTTGTGATCCTAACCCTTGGTCTGATGAGACCTATCAATTGCACCTTGACAGTCCAATCATTGGAAACTGGCACCCTAACTTTTTGGTGTCTCCCGGCGCACATAGTTGTAGGTATCGTGAAAACAACAGAACATCCTGCATTGTGTAACCCTTGCAATTACTCCTTGCCACATTTGAGGCGAGAAAAGTCCAAGAACAGAGAAATAGAATTTCAGCCAGATTTTACAAAATTAGGACAGGTATGCCATGGCAAAATGTATGGAGAAGCAGATCCCAAACCCAGATTTTTGAGATTTAAAGCGGTTTTTGATCCTCAATTCAGCCCAAATCAGACTTTCAAAAGCCAGCAGGACTGTTTCTGATGAATGGACTGTAGTGGTCCATTGAATCCATTCCTTGCAGCTGAGCGTCAACTGCTCACTGGCCTTCCATCAATTTTCAGATAATGGCAGTTTAAATGCAGATTTCTTTCTCTTTTGCGATGCTTCAACGTACAGTAAAACCTGTAACTAACGACCACCCCTTGGTGCCAGCAAAAGCAGTCTTTAGTGGCAGGTGCTCTTTAGTTAGAGGTTTGCACTGCGCGACCATGTATGGATCCCGTATATGATATGTATGGCAAAATGCAGCTAATACGATTCCCAGGACTTGCGCAATGCCATTCTTATTTCAGGTCAAAATTAATAACACCTGGAGAGAGAGAGAGAGAGAGAGAGACGGAGAGAGACAGAGGGAGAAGACTACTTTTTGCAGACATCAAATTCAGCTGCTACTTCTGAAACCAGGAGTCAAACGTTCCCTGTAGAAGTTTCGTTTTACGCTGGGCTTCAAATTTGTTCATGTGATCAATCGTACCGACTGTCCTTGTTGTAACTTCTCGATTGCTTGAACGCGATCCTTCAGCATCAGGACCTTGCATTGCTGCTTTGTTTCTGGATTCCTTGATGCCATCGTCGATTCGTCTGTATGACTGGGGTGTCAGAGCCGCTCTGTCTTCGTTTCTCCTCCGAGTAGTAACATCGATCAAAGAGCGCTTTCGATGCGCTCTCCAAGACGTTTCCTATCGTGTTTATTCTTGACAGAGCTTGAAATTTGGACAGGTGTAGTGCAGTCCACACCGATTCCACAGTCAAAAAGGACCTGTGTTCATTTTGTTCAGCTGTAGTATCGAAAGAGTCCTTTCAGGACCATGAAAAATCAGCAACATTTCAAGAAGGAGCTTCAAGCAACATTTGATTTCGTACATCGCGGTCGCTAGTTACGGGTCAATAATCGTCTTTGGGGCAAGAAAAGGCGGTCGCTGGTCGCGTTCAGCAGGTAGCCGCTAGTCACAGTGCATTTTGAATATGACACCGTCCGTGCCTGGTGAAGTGGTCGGTAGTACCAGGCTGGTCGCTAGTCACGGTGGTCTTTAGTTACAGATTTTACTGTACGTATACTTTATCCTGATCCATGAGCGAGAGCTCTGTCGCACCCTGTAATGATAGGCATTGTGTATGATATAAAAGTTGTATAGCAACATGATAATAAATTATGTGGTACTCTGACGCTTCTGCTCTACTTTACTTTAAACGGTGTGATCAGCGTGATCTGTACCGGTATTTTGACACCAACCGGCGGCAAACCGAAGTGAACTAATGATGTGCGGGTGTCCTGCCCAGCAGGCTCAGCTTGAGCTTGAATGAAAATTTCGGTACAACCGGTACTGTATACATGTACTGTATACCGGTACTGTATACCGGTAATGTATACCGGTACTGTATACATGTACATGTATACATGTACATGTATACATGTACATGTATACATGTACATGTATACATGTACATGTATACATGTACATATACATGTACATGTATACATGTACATGTATACATGTACATGTATACATGTACATGTATACATGTACTGTATACATGTACTGTAGTACGAGTACACTTACCTGGAAAACGGGTTTTACCGAAAATTTCCCTCCACCGAACCGCCGATTTTGGCGAAAACCGAAAATATTACACCCCCGAAAATCTGCTTTCACAGTAGCATATGATAACAATAGAGGAAATCACATGGAAACGAGTTATGAAGCAACTATCCACGACTGTTACAAGATCATAAGCAGTCAGAAAGTGCGATAACAGGGCACAAAACTGACATGTTACTGAGACATTCAACGACCTGACATATCATAATATGGATTGTATTTATGTGACGGTGCATGCTGTGGCAAATGTAGAACATTTTTTTATAACATAACCCAGCAACAGGTAAGTACAATGTGCAATGAATTCATGTCAGTATGTCCTCCGCCTTGTAACATGTTTGCCAGTACAGGAGGCCTCGACTATAGGAAAAAAACTACAGCCAGCGCACCCACGGGGACCGAAAGTTCATACTACACGCTGATTTTGTTCATATCATGCTTGAAATTAGTTCGTCTTCACAAAAGTTCGCCGTACAGGAATTCATCGTAAGCGAATAATTTTGACTTGATATGATGCCCGGCCATCCATAGGATTTTCCCTAGCTCGTACTGAAGGAAAGGGTGCCTTATCAGTGTTCGTCCTAACGAAGTTTGACTGTATATACATGTACATGTAGGTTTGATAATTGTGATGAAGAGGACCAGCTGAATCGACGCCAGCGTATATTGGCTTTATTGTACTTCAAAGAATAAACGAATCATACAAGCTAAGGCTGTGATGGACAATCAAGAAAATGTGATTACAGCACGGTGAAAAGAATACTGATCATTGGACAAAAATGTAATCCAAACTTGAAAGGATCAGTCAGGGAAGCGAACTGCCTGAAAAAGAAAAAAATGCCAGATTATAGATGTGCACCGAGGAGGGCGAGGACCCGGAACTCTGCTTGTCATGAACAATGCTCTAACCATCTGAGTTACATGTAGATGTCTAGTGCATGTCTGTTTGTGTATCACTTAATCATCACCAAGTCGTAAAGTTATCACTTACATACTACCTTGGGCCCTGTCTAATTGCATGTAGTGATAATTGCTTATTGATCAAATCAAACTGTTTCAAACACCAACGCAACTCCACAATACTGAGTTGAACTAAACGAAAACCGAACTAGCCACAGATGAAAATGGGTTGGAACTGAGAAAGAGGAGAGCTTATGCGAATGATTTCATGGCGGATAGATCAAGGACCAGTCATTCCTCGGGAGTTCAGGAATCTGTATGGTCTGGGACAAAATCTCCTCTCTGTCAGCATGGGTAGCAGGAGAGTCTGCTGCTTGATTGGTTCAGCTCGAGCATCTCTCTTTCTGGTGACTTTTTCATCCTGCAGATCTGGCCTTGAATACACCTGACAGCAGGGTAAATCCTTTGGAACAGAGCTCGTTCGATAAAGGAGATGGTATGCAGTCCAATCACGTAGAGCCACAGAGGCCTCCGTGCGAACAGACGTTTCCTTAAGGTCTTGGATGGTGGCCGCAGTACGGTCAAGGATAGTTGTGCGATTGAAGTTCTTTATCAGATCCATGGCACCGCTTTCAACCTGCTGAGCCCGGTGAAGATCAGCTCGAAGTCGAGCCACTTTCTTCTGCAGTGCTTCCTTGTCATGTTGGCGCTTTCCGGCAATTTGCCTGAGCAGATCGTCCTCGTAGCGATTCAAGAAGAGCCGCAGCTGTTCGAAGTCCTCCTTCAGCTTTGTCTCGGTGCACTGCGCATCAATGGTGGAATCCTCTTCCTCAGCCAGATATTTGTCAATGGCACCCTTCAAGGGGCGGATGGCCGCCTTGGACAAAGCTTGGATATGTTTCTCAATGCCTTCTATCGCCTCGGTACATGCCTCTTCCAGGCTGATGCATTCACACTGCCTGTGTTCTATGATGGTGCACTTGATGCACGCTGCTCTCCGGCACTGCTTGCAGAACACCTCCATCTTTTCCCCGTGATGTCGCTCACACACGGGCTCACGTTTTTGCAGGGAGGACCAGTCAGTCTTGTTCTGCATACTTGCCAGGGCAGCCAACGCCAGAATAGCGTGATTCTTGAATCGTTTCGATGTCTGATGGTAGCTGATGCAAAAGGTACACAGGTACATCTGGCATTCCTGGCAGAAGCCATCAGCTCGCTTGTCCTTGTCACACTCCTCACACATATGAACAGGGATGCTCTGCACTGACTGTGACTGCAATGTTTCCAGCAGTTGAACGACGAGACGATTTTTGGCCAGCGCCGTCACGTCCTGAAAGGCGTGAGACTCACGGCAACTTGGGCAGGACAGCTCAAACCCAGCATCCTGACCAAATCCCCTTGCCTTTGGAAGCTTCTCCAAGCAAGCAAAGCAGAATGTATGCTGGCACGATAACATGCGCGGATCACTCAGCGTGTCCAAACAGATCGCACATTGTAAGTGCTCTTCGACTTCATCTGCGGTGCACTTGGCAGCCATGGCTCAAGTTCTGTTAGCTTGAACGCCGGAATTAATGCAGGAGTTTCTCTCTCTGCAAGGGCACATGTAAAGAATCACAGAATTCACCCATCTCAGTCCTTGTCTCACCACTGTGACCTAGGCCACTATCAGCAGGAACAGGAAGTAACGACAAGTAGAACCACTCCCTTAGTGCACATCTCTCCACAAGGCAGGAGGGGGGGGGCACCTCTGCATTCAGCACACACGCGTGTCCTCATTTGCCTGTGTCCACCTAGAGAGAAGGCAATGAAAAAGCTTGTAGAAATTTGAAAGATTGATGAGAAAGATCCTGAAGCTTGTGTTGTTCAGTGTTCTCATTTCTCTCTTTCATCTCATTTATCGACAGGTGCATTACCGAGGTGATTTCACTCATGGCCTACATACTAACTATTTTTTTGACTGTCACCACCAGGACTGAAACCAGGGACCCTCACTTATGGCGTGTAGTTGTCATCCAAGCAGCAACTGTTCAATGCTTTCTTCAGACAAAACTCATGCTTCCTGTGAATCCACACAAACTGGTGGGGCGCAGCCCTCAATGTAATCCACACACTACACACCACATACACACACGCACGCACGCACGCACACATATACACACACACACACACACACACACCTGGACTTGAACTAAGCCTGAACCATCACTTTTATGGCCAGCGATGCTCAGCCACTAAGCTATGCGGGTGTAATCGACATCCCAGCAGCATTGTGCTGCAAACCGGGATGATGAGCCTGAAGATCCCCTAAGTCCTTAGGTTGCAATGTTGAAAGTTTGTAGATTCTACAAAGTGCGAAGCAGTTGGTGACCTGAAAGAAACTTACACTTTCTGCTGCTGGAAAGCTGATGATAGGAGAGTCAGCAACGACGTAGCGGTGCCCTCGATTTGAGCCTGATAATACCAGCAAAAGGTAGCCTAGTAATAGAGAGGATCGACGATAAAATTATATCTGCCAACCACCTCATTTCAGCACTGAAGAAGCTAACGAACTCCTGTGCAAACAACGCCACTCTGAGTAAGCACGTCGGGCTTCCTTGATCCTTTGGTTTTACTATGCATCTTTGCGAAGTACTTTGCAGCCAGGACGCTGCCGTACGGTCCCCCATACCGAGCCACCGATACTGGGATAATACTAGTAGAGCGTTCGATGCGCTTCCCAAGCATCGTACATGAATGTTCTTGAACCCGTCGATACTGCATGGCTGACATCATGTCACTGTCCGCAGCCAGGCCAGGCTGCAGGTACATCTGTGGTCCAGTCTTCGGTTGAGATTTTCCGGGAACTAATAAGTTACTTGTTATGAGCGCGCGCGAATACCTGTCAATGGTGGAAGTAAGCAGTTCGCTACATGTACTTATCTCCAGCTCCCATTCCGATGATTCCTTTCCTGATTTCCTGATTCGATGCTTCCTTAAAGGGGAAGTATACCCTAAAATCAAATTTTCACCAGTTGTAGTCTTCGGGGTGCTGAGTCGAATGGTCTTGGTCCGAGGAAGCTGCGACGCTCCCTTCCTACTTGAATCCCAATCGAACTCGCGCACTTCCACCGAAACTGGGTGACTGCGCCCTACTAGATGGGGATTTGTATGCAAAATGTCACTAAAAGCGCCATTTCGTTCTTATAAAAGCACGGATGACCGCGATTGGCCCATATGTTGTAGTCCTTTGGACGCTGTGTCGACTGGTTTTGGTCCGCAAAGGCTGCGATGCAGCGTTCCTCCTTTATTCCCAATCGAACATGGTTGAAGAAGCGGTCACGTGCTCCTGGGTGCCCAAATCACCTGGTCACCGCGCCAGCAGGCGACAACTTTCACACCAAGGTTCAACTCGAGTTCAACTCGAGTGACAGGACTGCACCCAAAAAAGGTCAAACAGGCTAGTAAGTTGTACCCTGCAGGCACGGTGACCAGGTGACTGGTGTACGCAGGAGCACGTGACCGCTTGTTCAACCATGTTCGATTGGGAATAAAGGAGGAACGCTGCATCGCAGCCTTTTCGGACCAAAACCAGTCGACTCAGCGTCCAAAAGACTACAACATATGGGCCAATCGCGGTCATCCGTGCTTTTATAAGAACGAAATGGCGCTTTTAGTGACATTTTGCATACAAATCCCCATCTCGTAGGGCGCAGTCACCCAGTTTCGGTGGAAGTGCGCGAGTTCGATTGGGATTCAAGTAGGAAGGGAGCGTCTCAGCTTCCTCGGACCAAGACCATTCGACTCAGCACCCCGAAGACTACAACTGGTGAAAATTTGATTTTAGGGTATACTTCCCCTTTAACCTTGCCCATGTAAGGTAGATCTACCATCTACCACCAACTACGTGGACCGGACTTCACAACACGCGACTTGGTACTGAACAACATGACTTTTCTTCATATGGGGCGCTTGAAAGTAACGTTGTAATTTTTTTAATATTTCGACAAGTGAGCAAGTCATCCAGTAACCTAACCAAACAGTTTCGGTATGTTGGCTCGGCTGGCGGCACACTAATGTGCTCTCGGAGACTCCGTACACATGACTTGTATTGTTTTCGTTGCCCTACTCAAACTCAACGTATTTCCAGCACGGAGTGAATGGTACATGATGTACTTTGGTGGAGGTAACTGGCTTGCGGAGTGAAATGTTCGAAATGCTTATCGTGTGCTTTAGGACAGCAGTTGTGAGTGATGCAAGCATCTCAGCCAGTCGGCTGGAAACGCAAGCTCAAACTTGAGGCGAAGCCAACTTCCAATGTCACCACCAAAGGCCCAGTACATCTATTTCCATTGGTAATGTGAAAGGGTTTTACTTGTACAGTGGAGATCGGATATAACGACCTTGCCTATATCGACAGGTTGAGTTTAGCGACACAATTCTGTTGCCCAAGTCGTTTAGAAAGCCCTTTGCGGACATACATGTATTAGATCAGGTATAACGACCGCGAAAATAACGACAGATCGGATGTAGTGACGCATTTTGCATATATCGACAGGTTGTATTTATGTGAAGGTGCATGCTGTGGCAAATGTAGAACATTTTTTTCCTAACATAACCCAGCAACAGGTAAGTACGATTATGTGCAATGAATTCATGGCAGTATGCCCTCCGCCTTGTAATATGTTTGCCAGTACAGGAGGCGTCGACTACAGGAAAAAACTAGAGCCAGCGCACCCACGGGGACCGAAAGTTCATACTACACGCTGATTTTGTTCATATCATGCTTGAAATTAGTTCGTCTTCACAAAAGTTCGCCGTACAGGAGTTGATCGTAAGCGAATAATTTTGACTTGATATGATGCCCGGTCATCCATAGGATTGGCCCTAGCTCGTACTGAAGGAAAGTGTGCCTTATCAGTGTTCGTCCTAACGAAGTTTGACTGTATATACATGTACGTGTAGGTTTGCTAATTGTGATGAAGAAGACCAGCTGAATCGACGCCAGCGTATATTGGCTTTATAGGGCTTGAAAGTGATGACGTCAAAACGGCCAGGGAGTAGTAAGTTGACATCAGATTTCTATTTTTGGATCCACTAAGGTGTGACTTTGCTATTGCCTAAGTATGTGGGTGCATAGCAACCCACTCATGTCGCATGCAGGTGTGACTTTTATTTCGCCACCAGTTGTAACCCCGCCCCCAGTAGCCAAATCAGTCAGTTTCACTGGCTACATCACCATGCTGTGGGTAAGACCGCTTGAAATGTGCTTGGATCCATACAAAAACTGGATCCAAGTGGATCCAGTTTTTGAATTTTTGAAATTGTTGCTATGCTGTGACGTAGCACTTTCAAGCCCTATTGTACTTCAAAGAATAAACGAATCATACAAGCTAAGGCTGCGCATGCGATGGACAATCAAGAAAATGTGATTAGGCCACCCAGAATAGATGACTTGCACAAAAATTGTCTGGGTTCGAGACGGGGCAAGTGGACCTTCTGACTCTGACTTCCCCACCTTTTGAGTTTGCGACTTTCGAAGTTTCGCTTTTTGCCTGACGAACGCTGAGCTAGTTTTTTTTGGCTAGAGAGTAGAGTTGTTTTGATTCGGCTTGTATCGTCATGCCGAAGCGCTGCTGCGCTCCTGAATCATGTGAATGCACTAGCAGACGAGAGATGGAACTGAGGCTCCCATTCCATACGTTCCTTTCCGAGCCGGGAGGCAGAAAAATGAGGGAATATTATTTTAGTATCGTTGGTGTAGGCTGCAACAAGCACGTCGTGGTCCTGAAGTGTGACTACTTTCCCGCACTGGAAGCGAAGTCAAGCACAACGAAAGTTTGTGGACGTCTGAGAAAGAACTCGATTCCCTTTGATTCGGCTGCACTAGCTCCAGAGCGACCCTCTCCTGAGGACAGACTGCGGAGAGGCCAGGAACCTGCCGAGTCACGAGTGGAAGGCTTCAAGCCCAAACCACGAAAATGAAGGGTGGAAGGACTGAGTGTGAGAGCCAGATGGCCTTTAGTAGTACTTCAAGTAGTATCTGAGTTGAAGGAGAGAACAAGTGTGCTGGAGAAACGCTGCGAAGTCCTCAGGCCTGATGTGTACTAGCTACTGTTGAAGTCTCACTTGTTCCAATATGAACACTTCATCAGCCCTGACTCTGAGCAGCTGTATCTAGACTTGGACTTAGGCCAGAGACATAGCATTGTATACCTTACTGAAGCCATATGTATCCAATGCCTGGCTCTAGTGAGAAAGCAGTTTGGCGCAGGCTCGCAAACTATGATTGAATCAGGGAGTGGTGGAAAGTCACATTATACCTCTCCATGATTAGCTGGTAATGACGTTGATGCGGCTCCGGCTGGGTCTCATGGGAAAGTAACTTGCATACCTGTTTAGTTGCAACGAGGCAACGGTGCCCCATGTGCTGAAGACGTGATTGAACTACATTTTATCTCCTCCTGGGAGAATGTGGAACAAATAATGCCAGAGTGTGTCTGATACACATCACAGTCTGCTGAGTATGTTCATTATTGTGGACGTAACGAGAGAGAAGTGCGCTGTGAGGTACCTTCTGCATTGGACCTACAGTTAAGCCACTACTCTTCTTACAAATTCCGGTGAAAGGATTTGTTGGAGCATCATCAAACAGTGCGTTCGCCTTCATCATACATTGGCTCCGTTGCCTACAGTAATTCACATTTTGACGGGGCGCGCTGGGACGATACGGAAGGAGCGGCGGGAACCATTGGAGTGCTCATGATGCTGGTTAGCGGAGGCGGATGTGAGTGTCAGGAAGGGGAACGCAACCGCACCACTGTACAGATCAGGAAGCGATGGAAGAGTTGAATCTGTTGAGCCTTCCAGGCCGTGTACAGGGACACAAACGTAAAAATGGCTACATTTCGAATGTGAACTGGCGATGGCATTGTGTGGCGACGAACACAACTGCAACTGTTCAACTTTCAGCATTTCGAACATTATGCTCCCATGATAACTCACCAAATGGCTCACATGACGGAGTTGGACATTACGAGGCTAGGATTATCATTTGCTGTATTTATGGATAGTCCTTGAGTTTTCAGATGAAGTGCTTCATCTTTTATCTGTCGTTCCTTTAGTATGGCACAATGTCCATGGCTGCTTTCTTGTCTTCATAACAGACTGCTATAATCAGCATGATTCTGCTTTATTTGAGAAGAAATAAAACTTTCCTTTCGGAAAGGAAGCCCAGAAACGTCAACCCCCATGGACTGTGCTTTATGACTCGCGTACATCGACATTAACCGTCGCAATAACTGCTGCATGTATGTTGTGCTGTGCGAACCGTACAAGATTTTACAGCTCACCCACGCCTTCCCAACAGGCTCCTATATCCCGTACAGTTAGCGTTACATTGAATATGAACTAGGCTAGCACAGTTATCCTTCGTTCTTTTGATGGCGGCGGGTAGCATGGAACTTGACGTGTTCTTGGGATCCTCGTGCAACACTTGCTGTTCCCAGATGCCATATTATTGGGTGCATCGAGGTTGCTTCTATGCTCACTGTTGTTTAGTAAGACAATTTTTTATAAATATTTCACGGAAGAATAAGGCAAGAGTATTTTGGGTTGGTTTGGACGCCTGGCTTCCCTTCACATATTAATATACAGTGAGTCATGTACTTCCACTAACCCTACAAGTGCACA